TGGACATGGAGCTTGCTGTGTGTGCAGGAGCGGTAGCTGCACTCATTACCTTCGTCAGGGTGCCAATGTTTAGCAAGGCTCCAGCCAACGCAGATCAAGCCAGATCTAGGGGGAGCGGAGGGGGCCAGCAACATGAACCGATGCAACCTTCAGCCAAAGGTCCGGTCTCACACTGTTGTCCAACTCTGCCATTTATAGATACGATTCAAGCTTGTTTGTTAATGCACACAGTTGGGCTCTTTGACGGACAATAAAAGTCAAGTATATTAGCTAATTTCACTGTTTGCCGTAAAAATTTGAACCCGATTAATAAGCTTTTGTTGCTTCAAAACTTAAAATGTGCATATCTTAATTACTCGACCACTTAACTGCCTGGACCTTGTAGTTACAGCACTTAGGATGTGACATTAATTACACACATGCAAGAATGTGCATGTACACAAAGCCTGACACACACACACATATATACACAGAAGATACACCTGTACTTGGTTTGGCATTAATTTTAATCATATAACTTCTCATTTTACTCAGCAGTGCTCATGGTATACTTGCAAGCAAATGAGATTGAAGTCAGCACTTAAAGGTTCAGTGTGTAGAATTTTGTGACATCTAGTGGTGAAGTTTCATGTTGCAGCTGAATACCCCTCACCTCACCCTCCCCTTCCCAACATGAAAGAGAACCTGTGGTGAACTTCAGTTGTCATGAAAACCCAAAAGATTTTTGTTTGTCCGGTTTGGACGACAGTAAATATGAAGTTTTTAAATATAAAGAGCCCATTCAATGGTAAAGAAAACAACAATTCATGCAATTTAGATGAAACACACCAGTGAAAACATCACTAGGATTATTTTATATTCAATTTCTGCCAAAAATCCCTTTCACCTAAATCTTACACACTGGACCTTTAAGTGTGTGAGTGTCACAGAGAGAGAGTTGGGAGAACTGGAATGAAGGTTCAGGTCTGGGGCAATGGAAAGTGACTGTTTGTGTGACAGTATAAAAATGGAGAAAGTATGGGAGGAGAAGGGAATGCTCTAACAGCAGAGGTGGACGGTCGGAAACAGTTTGGTCTACAGCGGGACTGTCCCGCCAAGAGCGGGTGCTGGGGCCACATGGAAACTTTCCCCCTCCGACTCTCAGGCAGCCGGAGGAGAGGTTTGCCGGTATTGAATATCCCAGGAAGAAAAAAAAGGGAAATAGTAAATTGAAGATCCAGACGTGAAGATGGAAAAGTTTGTCAGATGAAGTGAATAGTTTAGCGTGTAACAGGAGCCACTGTTTCATCTCTCTGAAGCCACTTCAGCCATCCATGAAGAAAAGACCACGCATCTTGAATTATTCCAACAAAAATCAGGTTAGCTAAAATAAGTTTATATACAACACTGTATGTGCAAAGCGCCTCATCCCGAGGTTGTGTCACGAGCAGCAGCTGCACATTAAGTTTCTGAACAGAGCAGAGAAGTGGATGAAAAGCCGGGACAAGATCATGATCGAAGGGTGAGAGCAATGAAGAACAAAGAGTCCATGTTGACTTCTGCTGCCACAGGTGAAGCTCCAGCAGAAGGCGTGGACTTCAGTATGTTAGTGTGCTATTTACCAAGGATGAGGCAGAACTGTCGGGGTGGACGGTTTTATTTTGTGGCAGCAGTTGTTTATAAATCCATTCTCATCCCTCTGTAGCAGATGTTTCATAGAAAAAAGACTGGACCTCCGTGGCTTGTTGTGTCTCTGAGACCAAGACAGTTAATGTTTACTCCTGGTTTTAGCCACAATTGTTTTAGTGCTCTTTGAATGATAACGTCAAGAAGACTGTCGTTCGTTGCAGATTGAAATCTCGATTGGTTTGACTTGTTTGACATGTCATCACAAAAGGTTTCCCACCTCCAAAAACCCTATAGGGTCAAATAAATATTTACAACTTCCAACTCCAGGAAATAACAATATATTTTGAGAAATATTTAATATATAAATATTTGCACGATATTTGTTGTTTTTCCGTTTTGCAAAGTAATGGCTGAAATAGTAACGACTGGCTTTAAGCTGATTTATATTGAGATAAAGTGTTGTGCTCAATGGTTTTGGTGATCGAATGACTTTTCTTCTAGCGCCGCCATCTGTTTGAGGTTTTCACTCATCCAGTCAACTATCTCAACATCTGTGAGGTGAAGTGGCTCAACATTATACTCTATGCATGGTTCCAGGACGATCAATCCTTGATCCCTGATGCATCTTCTGATGAAAATGTACCAAACATTAGCATGCTAACATGACAAACTAAGATAGACAAAGCAAAGCGTGCCATGTCATTACAAGATGTTGGTGCCAACTGAGGTTTTTCGCCAAGAGCTCCTCTGTGCTAAAATACATCATCACAGAGACGCTAGCTAGATAAATGACAGAGCTGCACACGTTCATGGAAATGATTCTCCTAAATATGCCTGATTGGCAGGTGACTGTCAATGTTGTGCAGTTTTGAGAAGAACAGAATTTCAGTTGCAGAGCACTGGAGTGACTGCTGCTGCTGCCAAACTGATGATGAGAGGTCATCAGTAATTGCAGTTTTTGATTTTCTCCATCCCGAATGAAGCTGTAAATCCACTCAACCCACACAACGAAAACCATTAGCCCGTCCACCCACACCCAATTTAATCCTTGCCCCTTTGCCATCATCACTAAGTGAGTGGTCAGAGGTAGTGGCCAGTTCAGGTCAGATTCCTCTGTTTTTCCTTGTACCGTGTTCACACTCTCGGAGGGAGCGGGTGCATGCCACGCAGCGGGCCTCTGCCTATTAATAGCCGCGAGGGACGGAGTCAGGGGCAATCTGGATGGCGAGTAAATTTATACCCTCCCCCCTGGGCGTTCCGTTGATGTCATAAGACTGACCTCTGACCCAGGAGCCCGGCTGCCACAAGGCCCGTGTTGAACTTGAAGTTCAGAGGTCTTGACAAACACAATATATACGCATGCATTTCTGACCACACCGTGCACTTAGTCATCTACAGTATGTTTACAGGCACCTAGAAAATGCGGCATTTGTAACCCTTTGAGGCAAAAGCCAGTCTAAATATGTCACCGCAGAATTCTGCACACTCATTCACTGTGCAAAGCTTAGACCATCACATGACAACAGCTGACACACCAACTGACTAAAGCGTCTTTGTTTAGTCGGTGTGCAATTAAAAGCTCTGGCTGATATCGGAAAGAAATGAAGGAAGAGCAGAATCATCAGACTCGCTCCGACCTGAAGGTTCGGCACGAAGTCATCACACAGTCGCACAATTTCCACAGATTTTGAAGACGACTAAGGTTGAATAGGGGTGATTAAGTGAAGTGATCACACAGGTTCCCACAGCCTTATCCAGTGTCTCTGCCCCTGCCAGAGATACGTGATGGATTGGAAGAGGAGGAAGGGGTTGGGGGGGGGGCTGACATGCAGTAACAGGGACGGTGGCAACTGATCTTCAAGGTATGTCAGCCGACAAACTTGGGATATCTGGTGCGCAGATCTTAACCTACAAACATGACAACATCGTTCAAGATATTATTCCTCTTATTTTTGGGTCCCATAGAGTTGTTGTTGGATACCTAAAGAGCCCTAAACATGTCACAGTAAGGACCGTGTTGAATTTGAAAAGTAATGAGAAAGGACCTGGTTCCGTGAAAGCTAAAAGACAAGCATTGTTTTTTTTGTTGTACGACCACGTGTGCAAACTGACCCATGCCCATCCAGTTATTGTCAAACAGTATGCCACCTTCCACCAATGGCACCACCACCCGCTACCCTTCACATGCCTGCCCTCGTAAACAACATTCCTGCCCTCAGATGTCTTCTCTCCACCACATGAGCCTCGCAACTTAATGTATAGCATGATGTATTTTTCATATGGCACCACACACCCTGAATCCAACACACGTTATTGCATTGCTTCAAGTTTTCAAAATGCGTCAATAAAACAAACAATAAAATGAACAAGCATTTTACAAGCCAAACTAAATCTGTGTTAGTTTGAAGACTGTGTGTAAATTAGCCTTTTGGCTAAGCTAGTGCTGTATATTAAATCTAGTCTGTCTCCTGCAGTTTGTTGAGATTGTCTTTTGAAGCTAAAAACAAATCCTAAAGTGCAGTAGCATATTGGAACTTCCTGAAATTGTGGTTAAACCGCAATAAACATTTATCCTGACAGACACCGACAGAGTCATTGTCTATGTATTGATAAATACAATTAATCAAGTTGCAAGAAAATGTCTCAAATAGAGAAGTCTGAAAAAAAGTCACCTGGATCTAAAAGAAGTGAATTTTTTTATGTTTTTTTTAGATTTTCAAATATTTAAAGAATGCACTCGTAAAAAACTCAGTGAGAAACAAACTATTTATTGACTGGTCATGTCAGTCTCTGCTCTTGCATATAGCTAGATAGATAGTTTATTATCATTCATCCCCAAAGGGAAATTAGGTAATATTATATTATATTGTACTGTGGGATAATACCTCAACAGGACTTAAAATAATTATCAGACTAGAATCAAGTAAACTTGAGGTTGTAACCAAGATTTGTAGGTTGTATTAATTTAATGATAAATAGAACTAAATTTACTTTAACACGTGATTCTTGGTTAAGTCAGGTTAGAGTCATGGGACAGGGACTGCAGCTTCAGCAGCTGGATGTGTCCTGGATGACAGGTGAAACATCTGTGAGCAAAACTGTCTCAAAAGACATTTAGCCTATAAACAGGCTACAACTCGTTTCTTTTACTATCCAGGAACAACTCCAATAATCATTACGCACATATGAGATTTCACTCTGCAGCTTTAGACTTCCTTTAAAATCGGTTTCAGACATCACTTTCTAGTCCCCATGAAAATATTAAACACCACAACCTCAGATGTGGACACAGCATCACAAGTCCCCCGACCCGTGCCATGCCCCAATTGACGCCCCTCTGCCGTCTATCAGACCACCGGATGACAAGTCTCAACAGTCTTTACGCACGGAGAGCGCACGGAGAGTTTGCGAGCACGCATGGGGGTCTCTCCCTTTCCGGCTGTCCATGGCCTCCTCGCCCCGGCGGGCAGCTCCAAGACTCTGCCAAACCTCCCTGATCTCCCTTTTGCCTCTCTCTACCTTTCCTGTGAAGAAACAAGCCGGCGTTACGTCAGAAAGTGCAGGGCAAGCAACACTGCGTCTTAGGAGCTATTCGTAGGCATTGCTGCCAAACCCGGCTTGGGGCTGCTCACGGGCTCACTGCAGCCAATGCAATTTACAAATCCAACTCATTTAAAACTGCAGCAGTATGTGGTAAGTCAATATTCATTCATACTGTTTTGTTTGCCCGCTGGGGTTTTTTTCCTCTCACAGCTTTCTTCACATGACAGGTCTCTGTTGCTGGCACAATTGCGCAAAAACCCCAACAGTTAAAGCGCTTTAAAGATAAGAGGAAAGTAGGCTGGTTTGCCCCGTAGCCTCACTGACAACACCATGACATGATGAGGCAACAGAGATTTCTGCAGCATTTTTTGTGTTTGATTCTTTGCTGATCTAAAAAAAAAAAAAAAACAAACAACATGCCCCACGCTCGAAATAGGAACCCAAGCCCCATCCCGGAGGTAACATGGGACACGGGATTGAAGGAGATGAACGAGACCTGGAAAGGAGCTATCGCCTGTCTCGGGGTGGCCGTCTTCTTCGTAATGACCATCGGGATCATATACTGGCAAGTGGTGGACCAGCCCAACAAGAACTGGATCCTCAGGGGGACTTTTAGCGGACTGATCTGGGAGAGGAGAACCCACTCGCTGGTCATACAGACCCTGGCGGAGGACAAGACCTTTGTGGAGATAGATGTCGGGAACGTGGGGAACCCCGACGCCGAGGTTCCCTTCGTGAGGAACCTGTGCTGGCTGAACAAGACGGAGTTCTGTTATACGTGGGACGCGGTGGCCGAGGTGAAGATCTCGCTGGAGGTGAATGAAGAGACGGAGACTGAGTGCTACAGCATGACTTGGGCGCCGGTGCACTGTCATGTGGAGCTGAAGGTAGAGTTCCTCTGTGTGCACTTCACTTAAACACAACCAGAATATCACCGAGACAACATTTTTACGCAAAACCTAACGTGCAAAAACCTCCTTTCTAACATGTTCCATGCGTTTTACGCACTGCAGATCCAGCACAGATGATAATGTATTAAACTGTGATTGTGCACGGCAAGATATTAAACATGGATTAAACAAATATGTTGAATTCAGCAGGCACCTATTAACTTTAGCTTTTACTCACAGTATCATACTATAATATTTATTTGATCATACAATTTAATTACAATACGTTTCATCCTTCAAGTCTTGTTATATATATATGTGCTATAACTACATTAACAGGATTTAAACTACCTATAAATACCTTTGTATTTATATAAACAGCAGAGCACACGATGCTCCATTAAACACAAGTAAATGATAGTAAACTACATTAATAATACATTAAAAGCAGGGGTTTGATGTGATGTGTACAGTGACATGCACAGGTCATCTCGTGATTTTTCTTTTAAACAAAGAATTTAAGATTTATTTTTCACGACTTTATTTTGTTGAATTTGTTGAAAAATCCAGTTTGGCATCTTATTCCACTTGTCAAATCGAATGAAACATCACATAATAAAAACGATAAATGAAGTTATAGACACAACAATGTGTGCGTAATTCCCCCTTTCCACAGCCCTGATTCAACTGCGCTGAACAGATTTCGTGTTATACTTGCTTCACAGTTGTTTTGCATTTTTACACGCACGGTACTTACTGTACTTTCCCCCCCAGCTTAATTATCAAAGGCATTTAACTATTGGGATGTTTGGGGAGGTTAATCTGTCCCCACTGGAACATTCCTCGCCATAACTCCCTGTCATGTGGCGCGACTGCTCACAGAAAATCTTTCCAAACTAAATTCGCCTTATTATTTTTTTCTCTCTCTAATTTCCAAAATCCTGCCTGGTGACTCTCAGGTGACCGACTGGCACATTTTATTAACGCAGCCTGGATTCCTGACGTGAGAAAAGACGAGACCCCCGGTTTACGCATGGTCCCCCTCACGCGTAAAGACGCTTTCAGGAAGCAGAAGCTTTCCTTTAAGACATCGCTGTCACTCAATGCCTCCTGCGTGCGATGCTCTCTGAGACAGGTCTCATGTACCAGCCATCACATACCAGGCTGTGCACTGGATTTCTGCACCAACAGTAACTCACACTCACACTTTCATCCATACTCTGAGAACTCATCAGCTAGAATGTGGCAGCACTGGGATCATTCAGGTTATAGACACTCATAGATGACATTTACAGTCAACATTTTATTTTCAAGCACAGAAGAGTTGGTATAAACTTTTTTGTGAATGTTCTATAAATGTTGGTGGTTTCAATGTGTGTGTTTTTCGATTGTATATTGTTTTTGAGGCCTCGTGAAGTCTCCTCAGCTTCAGTCTCCATGAGTGTAAACCTGTGTGTATCCTCCCAGGACTGCTTCTCTATGACCAATGTATCCTGGTACGGCGGAGCCAGTGTCCGGGGTCAGACGTGGCCCATCAACGATCAGAACGCCACCATGCAGCCCTTTGTCGTCAGCGACCTGAAGGACAATCCTTCTGGCTTCGGCTCTTCCCTGGAACGCTACTTCCTGGGTTCATCAGGTAAGAGGTCACGGTCGGGATGAATGTTTGTTTTTTGTATCAGCTGAGTTTCATCTACTTTAAGTGGAGTTGATGTCCTGAGCAAAAGGTTCTGTGACAATGAGTAAAAACCTGTTCCAGGGTCAACAGTTTTTCCTCACTTGCCATTGGTGTTAACACAAGGGCTTGGGGAATCCGACCCCTCATCAGTGGGTATACGACGTGTGGCGTGAATCCCAGGGCGTGAGGGAAGCCCTGTGGATGTTGTTGTTGTGTTTTTTTTTACCCCCCCACCAACCCCACCCCCTCGCTCTTGGATGTTTATTTGTGTTTGAGCCGAGAAAAATTACTCCGGCCGTCTCCAGAAACAGCATCAAACCGCTGAGTGGATGAGAACGACCGGCCCACAAATAGCGTGTAAAACAATCTCCATTAATTTAGAGATTAGACTACAAAGGAAAGCGAAACACCTTTAGCATCTTAAATTAACTCTTCGGGATACCGGGGTAATTGCCTTTTGTTTCTATTAAAAGGGCAGGTTGGATCAGGGCCCTGCTGACTCTTATAACTCACCGGGTTATTTTGGGGGTGTTAGATTTTATCCTGGGGGCAAAGGGGGGAGGAAGGGTCCACAGGCGGATGTGAATGGTTAATGTGACTGACGAGGAACGTTTATTGTGTGTGTGTGTGTGWGTGTGTGTGTATAAATGTGTGTTTTGGTTAACCTCAGGGACTCTGGTCTCTGGAGCTGCTGGAGTTCACTCACTGAGCTGCTGCTACACGTAGCTTGTATTCACGCGTGAGAAGCTAAAACATCAGCGTGCTCATTGACGCGACATCAATCAATGAGGTGTTATGACTTCAGTGATTATTAGCGGTCGCCTCCCACTCCTTCATCCACACGCTGACAGAAACAAACACACACATGCCTGCCCACATACACCAGTACGTGTTTTGGGTACGTTATGCAACACGGTGGCAGAGTCACATGACAGAAATCCCTTTTCCACCTGGTCAGCGGACGACGGTAATTATCAGGACCCTGTAACCCTTTGTTTCTGTGTCTGAGCAGAGAAAGCACACACACACACACACACACACACACACACACACACACACACACACACACACACACACACATGGATGAGATGACATCCCAATGAGAACAACTGTTCCAGTGTTGCCAAGTAACGACTCACAGACACATACTGTACATAGCCCCAAACATAGCAAAGCGCTGCTCAGCAATGACAACGATGCCTATTGGACCATTAAAGGTATATTTAACGTGATATCTCACTTCAGCTCAAGGATGTTTTCGTTTGGCTGATAGATTTACATAATGTGCATGTTTGACCCTCAGAGAAAATCGTTTTTCTCAACTTCACAGAGATGCGTTGGAAGTTGTGCTCGGCCGCTTTTCCCTCCAGCATCAGCAGAAATAATCATGTGACAGAAAAAAAGGTTTGGATGAAGCTGTAAAAGAAGTGAGGCTGATACAAACAGAACAGTACGATAGAGTTGTAACTGCTGTGGAAGTGCAGAAGATAAACATACAGATATGTGTGGATGGTAAAAATACTAAATAAATAACCTTTGCCAATTTGGACACTGTTTAATATATAACTGTGTTAATTGTGAACTGGACTTTCAATGTTTCCACAATTCAAATATATTCACTGCACATAAGCTCTTGCAACTCTGTTCAGTCCATAATATGATATTTATTTCTAGATGAACATAAACTCCGCACCAGCTCGTCACGGTCGGAGCAGCTCTACTTGTTGCACCTTGAGCGGAACTTATGCGATTGACCATGTTTTGATATTGGTCCCTAACAAACCCGAATATAATGTTAAAAGTATGAGCTGCAGGTGCGTTACACAAATGCAGTTTAATACACTGGTAATGCAATGACTGCACATTGCTCTGATAGTTTCCTCAAGAACTCAGAGTTTCATTCTCCTGCTTTAATAAGAGAAATCTGGTGAACTTCTCCTGCACCGAGTTTGGTTAAAAAAAAAAAAAAAACTTGTTTTTGCCAAAACAGATTGAGGAAAGGCAGCTCTCCAGTGGTCATAAAAAAAAATAAAAGAGTGGCCACATGTCTTCATCATTTTCATGACAAATTCTTTCAGTAAGTCTTCCAGAGCTGCGATGCTTTTTCTTTTATTTTGAAGAAACAAACAAGTTCCAGTTTGAATGTGATATTAGTTTCCAGCACTGCGTGAACCCGCTGACCATCAGCGGAATATTTCTGTCGTACATGTGACGCTTGCTGTGTGTGCATGGGACCTGTCTTCACCAAGTCTAGTTAGTCATAGGGGCGCATTATAAATGTGGTGGGGAATATGGAGCTGTGACTGATGTTACTAACCTAAGAGGACTCGTGGGGACAGTTAAAGAGCGAGACAGACGGGCTGAAATATGCAGCAATGGAAGCAAGACTGCAAACTATAGAGTGACAGTGGATATTAAAGAGAATAAAAAAAAAGAAATCAGAGAAAGAGAAGGAAAGCAGAGGTAGAAAAGTAAAGTGGAGAGACAGGGGAGAGGATATATGCAACCCCGCAGGAGAGTGACATTTGAGAGTGTTGCCAACTGGAGGAACTTGTCATAGCCCCACCTGTCTTTATCCATACAAAAACAACTGGGCTACTAAGGACAGATTAGATATCACTGAAGTCACATCCTGCATTAAAAATATAAGAGGGGAAGCTGTGCCAAAGCTTTATCAGCTTACTCTTACATTGAATCAGCCTGAGGTGCAGAGGATACAGGTTCACATGGTGTCTCACACGGCAAATCAGAAATATAATGTTGGACAAACTGTCAACATGTGGATAATCCACCATTTAGAAAATAAACACTGCGCATGGTGAAATCACATGACGGCGATCGTGTGCAGGACGCGGCTGGAGGGACGCAGCAGTTACTGACAGTGGTTGTTTATTTGTCCATTTTCTAAAGCAATAAATTAAATGATACTAAAGATGCACCACTAGTTATTTTTGTTAATTCACATTTGTCCATTAAAGGTCAAAATCTGAAAGCAGTTTCCCAGTGTTAGATAGAGATTTAAAGAAATTACAAATAGTATCAAGAAAATGTTCTACACACAAATCAAAGCAACTTATTATTTATATTATTTGTGATTTGAATTGACTAAATATGAGACTGAACTTATATAACTTATTGTTTAATAGCTTTATAATGAGTTTATCTTGCTTAATGTATAGATTTTTATAACTTTAACACCACAACTTAACTCCTTGCATGCATGCAGTGTTATATTGATAGTATTAATAACACAGCGTCCAGTGTTTTTAGCTTTGAAAACCTTCAGTTCATTAATGGTTGATGAAACATCACGTAGAAACATGATGACGAGAGAATGGAAATCAGATAATTGTAGTTTTTTGCAAATGCAAAATATTAGAAATACTAGAATCAATAAATTGAAAATGAGACTTGTAAACAAAATTACCAATTTAATATAGCAAACTAAGAAGAACACATAATTTAACTGTTTACAGGAATATTAACTATCAATGACCAATTAGAAATATAATTTTAATCCATTCCACTTATTTTATTATGCACATTAATCCTATAAATAATCTTCATCTCCATCAGACAGAAAACTTGTCTCTCATCAACGTATCCCCAGCTCAGCATTTGAACCCAGGAGCTTGCAGAGATGTTTTCCCTGAGAGCTTTGACATCACGTTTCTTTTTCACTGTCTGGATCCAATAAAAGTAATTTATCTACTGTCCCATCATATCTGCCTTTTGTCCACACTCGCTTTTATAAAGTGCAGACCAGAGATTAGAATCAGATATACGAAGCTATTAGACCACCTCCTACACACAGGTACGTGCTGTGTGAGTCCATATGTGCAAACACCGTCTCATTCTCTCTCTCTCTCTCTCTTTGGTTCCATATCCATCTTTCAATTTAACATGATTTTATTCTCCCCTTGGCCTCCCACTCCTTTTTTCTTTATTTCAATCGCTGACTCAATCTTTCCATGTTGGATCCAGAGAAATGAATTTTAAGTGCTCCTGCTCATTTGTTGTTGGTCTCTTGGAGAGAACTGGACAAACACAACACACAGATAAAACTCATCATGAATTTAGATTTTTATTTCCACTTTTCAGGTTTTAAATATGAATCACTTTTATTTGGGGCAGCGTTACATCTTTACATTCATGCTGTATTTTTATGGTGCTTCATTTTAAAGAAAAGCAGAGAGAGAGAGAGAGAGAAAGAACATCGAAAAAAGAAAAGAAATAGTCACAACCACAGCAAAGAAGCAGTTGAAGCTGATACTTCGGTGCCAATATCTTCCAGTTGAGTATCTTCTTTGTCCAACAGAATCAAGCTGCCCTGTGTTACTCAACAGGTCACCAGGGGGTCCCTGGGCAGCTGCCCCGAAACTTCCCACTCTCTGGGACGAGTGAGAGGTGAAACGCTTTAATAATGACTCACTTAGCCAACTGAAGCTGTGTGAAGAGCAGACTGTCATCTCCCGCATGAGGAGGCTACTGTATGAAAATCATCTGACAACATTTTCCACTGTCAGTCTCCGACCTAATACTTTCCATCAAGGACGTCGAGCGAGAGGCGGCAGAGAGGGAGACGATTTAAAAGGAACGGGCCGATACAGCAGCTTCTGTCCACTGATGTAATTACAGTGTGAAGACAAGACGTAAGAAGTCTGGGTCTGTTTTTATTCTTTAAATTACCGTTCGAAAGAAACCCAATTTGTCCTGACATCTCGTCTGATGTATTGATGTTCGGAGACACATTTTCACTTGTAATATTTGTACAGAACACAGCGTCTCACACTCCAAACAATAAAACTGATTGATGATAGGAACAAAGCAGAGAAAGTCTCTTTAGTGTTTCATTATTTTTTCAATAACTGGGATTGGAAATTTACAACCATGGCAAAATCCCAGTTTTGTGGCCATCAATTTCTTGAGGTTGGGCAAGAAAACCAAGTTTCCATTGTTAAGGAAATACATGCCTGAACACACACACACACGCGATTGCACGCAGACACACAGTTAGTGTTTCGACGCACTGTTTAATAGGCCCGGTCCGGTCTGCGTGCACAGGTGTCATAAATAACAGTATGAATATGACAGGTAAAAGAGAGCAGCCCATCTGGTGCACAGCGGCAGTGAGTCAGCGGCAGCGTTTCCCTCCGGAGCAGCCGCTCTCTCAGGGCCGAGACGCCACATTTAAAACCTTCCTGACCCCTCAGAAGGTGCCGGGGTCACCTCCGCCTCAGACTGAGCGAGAGGAAGTGCAGAACCTTTATGGTCCTGTAAGTCCTGCTCTGTTTTTCCTGGAGGTCTACAGTTTCCCATTAACGAAAGACAGAGTGCGAATGTGTGCGAGAACGCGAGTGCGTTCACGTTTGTATACGAAGAGGCGACCCGAGGCTGCTTGATTTGTGTGTTTTGCTCAGCGGCTGTAAAAGTGAAGCATGTGTGCGTCTAATCATTCAGATCGCCCAATAAACTTCCATTCACTTTTACTTTTTGCATATCGGCTGCTTTGAAGGTGAGCGGTTACGGTCAGTCAGCCATATAATTTTCCTTTTGAGAGCCGGTGGAAAATATTTCGGGGGAAGCTTGAAGTGTTTAAGGAATTGTTCTAAAAATAGGCCCCCCCCCCCACTTCCCCTTTAACTCCTGGGCTCCCCATCTTGGCTGTAACTCAAACCTGCTTCACTTTCTTTAAATAACACTTATTGATTCCTGCTCCTGTCTGGTTTATACATCCACCAATGCTATTCTGTCACATGTATGTCTGTCACTGCTCCTATATAACCAGAGTTAGAAGTTCAGTCTCGATCAGGAGTTTAACCCATTTTGAAATACATAGTTACAAAGTACTTAAAGAATATACACACAAGAGAGGATTTTATATATTTACTGTTCAAATCTGCATGCTGAATGGCAGATAGAATAAAAGCTGCAGCTGTTTTTGTCCAGGCTTTCCTCGAGGCCCTGCAGTGTCACTTCCCATTAAAATTAAATATGACTCAAGAAGTCACGCTTGCAAACTTTAAACTCCACTTTCCACCCTGTGTGCACTTTGGTGAAACACACTGTTTGCAGCCTGCTGTATCTGCACATCATTCTACGAGGCTGCCCGGTGTCTGGTGTAGTCTGGTCGCCTCTATTTCCACTGCCTGCATTCCACTTCCATCCTTCCATGAAGCTAGAACATTTTCTCCACTGCCCCACTTTCTACCCCATCGTGTACATGCACAGTATGGACATGCACATTTTCGTAACACCTTCGCTTGATCAAGAAATACCTTCAAGTATTTGGGGTTTAAACACGTGGCAGTGTTTTCCAACAAAATCATTATTATGTGTCGTCTGTGAACCTGTAACAAGCTGTTTGACGGCGACTTAATACCATGTGAGAGGCAGCTGAGGTGTTACCAGTATCTCTTTGACATTATCCGTTGCAAACACGTGAGAATCACCCTGAGGTTGAGAGCTCTTCACTGGGCTTTATGCAGTACTTGAGTACTGATCTCTGAAACTATTAATCTGATTATAAACTGGTACATGAGTATTTAGGTCCCTGCCAGTATAAGAACAGGGAGCCCATTGAAACTCGAGATGTTGACTGGGGTGAGCCAAGCTCTGCAGCTCAGGGGTCTCACACTGTCCGCTTGCTTTGGAAGCAGGTTTTGCTTCTTAATCTTTTCATTGATCCAAATCCCAAATCCGAGTTTGGCTGCTTTGAGAAAAAATACTCAAGCGAGGGGCCGGGGTTAGAGTCTAGGCTGAGGTATTGGGCTCAGATAGATTGTCGGCTGGGTTCTGCTGACCTGACATGGGCCAGACCCACAGTGGAGCGGAACTGAGCGCAGAGGACAGGAGTGGAGTGGGACAGGAAGGTAGTTTAAGTTTGGGAGGGTGAAGGTGGGAGTCAGGAAGGGTGAGAAGTGGTGAGGGTGGGGGTCTGGGGTAATCTGAGAGGGAAGAGGCATTCCTCGCAGGGCAGCTACATCTGTGGACACAATTATCTGCTTCCTATAATCTTATCATTTCACACGGCCTCTGAAACGCTGTGCACAGGAGAGAAAACAAGGGGGTTCCTTCTGCTGCAAGTTTATATGTTTCTACTAAAGTTGATTTATTTAATCCCTGGTGTCATTCAGGTTCAGTTTCCTCATAGTGAGTGAGAATAAGAAGGAATACGACAGACACAGCAGGAGTGGGCTTCTTTTAATGTTCCCGAGCAAATCGATAAGAATTGAAGAAATGCAAACAAACATTTATCTGGTGTAACTTTCACTGTGTGTCCCAGATACTCTCGTCCCTTTGCTGCACGGCGTAACCGAGCTCCTCAGAAGTTGCCAGCAGTCCCAGGGTAAACCCATCCAGCAGCAGCATACTGCTATATCTCATTCTGAGGAGTGTTTTTCTCACATCTGAGTGGAGCAATATCAGCTGATACAGCCTACACTCTACCTCCCACAACACTCCATCCTTCACACTCATACCGCTCTCAGTAACACACACGCACTATGTCATAAAAGAAGAATCTGCTACAGGCCGTCTCATGCTTGAACACTATAGTCTCTACTGTTCAGGCTGACCTTACAGTATATCTTGTTTGAACCTATGTGACGTATCCTCCCCTGTCTTCTTCCTGCTCCCCACAGGTGTTGCGGTCCTCGTGTCCCCCGACATCCCCCTGCAGCTCGGGGTGGACAGCAGACAGCAGTTCTGCCTGCAGTCACTGCCCAGTATGGAGCGTCTCCCTCTGCAGTACACCGTGTGTGTGGCCCGCGACGTGAAAGCTGCTCACCAGGAAGCCGTGCAACAGCTCTCCCAGCCCGGCAGGGAGCTGCCCAACATGAAAGCGCTGTGGTTAGTTCAGTTTAGATTGAGATTAGAGGAGATGAGGGGGGGATTCTGGGGTTGTCATAATACCCATAAGTCAAAGCAGTGTGCTGCGTCCACAAACGTTGATTTAGGCTTTGTGGGTATTCAGGGAGCCATAAACTAAAACTCATCCAAGGTTCCGCAGATCTGCAGGTCGTGCATGATCCCACCGTTTGTGCTTTGCAGGCTGCCGTTCTGGAAGCTGCTCACTAACGTGGACTCGGGCCCGAAGGTGGAGAGGGAGCTGAGGATATTCTCCAATCGTCTGAGGAGACACCGGCTGGGGGAGGGAGTCATCAGCCTCAATGAACATTCCACCACCCTCCTCTCTGATATGGTACGACAGAAAACACTGCATGAGTTAAACCTTCAGGGAAGAAGGATCAAAGTTTAGTTTCTAAAGTAGATCGAGTACATTTAACTGTTGATCTTTCAGAATCACATCAATAATTATCATTTTACATCCTCTTCATCAGTGCATCTTTTATTGATCAATCTTTTCAGATCTCCGATCAAACCCAATAGTTTCTCTCCAGTTTGAACTTTTTTGTTCCTCCTCCTGAGATTATACCCACCAGCCTCTAAACATTCAAAGTTAAAAAGTGAAACTGCATAAAAATCATAAGCATTGTTATTATTTATTTAAGAGTTTAATATTAGATTAGTTTGAGAACTGATTTTTGATGTAAATGTTACTAAACTCTAAAAGACACTTTTTTCCAATTGAGCTCCACCGACTGTGCAACAACGAGAAATCCGAAAAGAAACGTACAAACATTTCTCATGTGAATTTTCCTTGAGGGGCGGCGCGGTGGGACAGTGGTTACAACTGCTGCATCACTGCAAGAAGTTTATGGGTTCGAACTTCGTGACCGGCCGTTTTCTCTCTGAGGGGAGTTTGCATGTTCTCCCTGTGTCTTACTGGGTTTTCTCAGTTCAGAGACATGCAGATTGGATATGTCATCATAAAAACCTGTTTATTATTACTACTACTACTACTACTACTACTACTGTACTACTGCTACAGCACAGTCACTGTATGTATCTGATGTGCTGAAAGTTTTCTTGCACCACGATTCTTGCGTGGTTCACTCCTGTGAGGCTCGTGAGGGTTCATCGGCTCAACTCTTGAGATGAAATTGTTTTCTCCAGGGCGCTGCATGGATTCAGGTGGGGAACCAAGGTGGGAGGACAGGTTCACTATTATCCCGTTTCTTTCCTTGAATTGTTTCGATAACACTCAAGGAAACGGTACCCGGTGATCTTCCATTACTAAACAAATACAGCTGAGAGAAGACAAACAGAGGCTCCCCGAGCAGATCTCGTGTTGCTCCGTGTGCTGTGGCTGCTGGACTGAAGAAGAATTGCTGAGAATTGAAGGGATCTCTGCCAAGACCAACTGCAGCAGGTGATGCTGACACCAGCTCAATGCTGCGATCTGACCTGGGCCACACAACAGAGGAGGAGGCAGGAGAGTCTCAGGTCTGCAGTCCATCAGAAAGACCGAGTTCAGAATCTATACAGAGTCTGACCGACGCAGATTTTTGTTGTCGTTATCCTGATATTAGGGAGTAAATAATGATTCCTAAAATGGCGTTATCAAACCCTTTGGAGAAAGAAATAGATGGATGGACAAACGCATGGACAGATAAATGGATAGATGGATGAATGGATAGATAGATGGATGGATGCACTGTATTGATCCCAAACTGGGAAACTCCTTAGTTTTGAAATGTAATTCAGGTTTGATATTTTACAGACTTTAAAAACCAAATAATAATTGAACCAAATACACAGAGTTTGAATTAGGAGATTAAACATATATTATTGAACATATATTTGTATCATATTCGCCTCATGTCGGCAAAACATAAACGCAGATATCGATACGTTGCCGGTATCAATATTCGTTCGCAAAGCTTCTGGTATGTTCCCATTAGAAGTTGTGAAAGAACAGACAGAGGAGGGGGAAAATGGGAGAAACAGCTCATGTCAGATGATGGATGCCATTTGGAGAGCAAGCGTTTCCTTTTTTCTCGATCAGAGATATGAAACACCAGTGTTGTTGGCTCCGTCTCTCGGTAACTGCCATAAAGAAGGAGCTGAGTGTACGGCGTCGTGCGGAAACTGTACGCTGTGACCGTAAGGCTCTGCAGAAGTGTGACTGGCTGTAATGATCTTCAGTAAAAACTGGACTTCTCTTTCACTCCACTTTTACAAGTATTCATAAATTATCAGTCACACTATGACCCTTCTTTTCCACTTTCCATAATAGTTTGGAACGACTCGCTGGCTCCGGAACGTTTGGGCTACTAATGATAAGTTTGCCTTGTTTCTAACCTGATTACTCACACACTGCATAATTTAGCTTTTTGCAAACCAAGTTTCGAAAGAAAAAAACCTGAGGCTGGCCCCGGGGTTTTGTCTTCTTTGTGTCAGTGTATAGTGTTTTGACGATTATTTGGAAAATTCAAATCCAGGAAAGGAAAAAGCAGAAGAAAATGACCAGAGGGGGAAAAAAACATTCTGAGAAATTACATAATATGTCCGTGCTAATCTACGCTTTCTTCCCACCGCAGCTTCACCTTCAGGGGTCAGCCTTTTGTATTCTTAAGAGCTTTTGTTCCACAGTTATGTAACGTGAAATCTCTGTTTGACTTCGACATGTAAATTCCAAAGGATTATAATGCACTTACAACAATTCAGACATGGTTCATGCTGTCAGAGCTACCGGCGCCTACATGAAGCAATCATCATTCCATTAGTGCATCATAATGCAGATGTGTAAAATATTTAGAGAATAAATTATTTAGACAGTAATGTAGAGAGTTATTGATTAATTATTGATGTTAATGCTTGTATGAGGCTGCTTCCCGGATGCAAACATCAGGCTGCACTCTCTGATCAGACTATACGGCCCCATTGTCCAATCATGGTTTATCTCTCCGTCTCCCTGCAGGACCATGACTACCTCAAAGTCAGGAAAAGGGGGATGTCCAAGAGACTGACCAGGGACCTCCCGCTTGTCAAGCTTCTTAACATTTCCATCACCCTGTCCCCTTTCCTGGGCGTGGACACCACACAGTTCCACACCTCCCTCATGGACGGCACAGAGGCCTACTGGCTCAGCCTCCCCTCAGCCCCTCAGGGACAACTGGTGAGACCCGACTCGAGCGCACTCGGCAAAATCAAAGCCACCTCAGGTTGAGGCCTGAGGTGGCTTTGATTTTGTTCCGGTTGTTGTTGTTGTTATTGTGGAGTTGACCTTCTTGTGAAGTAAGACATTCCACTTCCTTTGCATTTGATTTAAAAAAACACATTCCGTTTCTTTCTTTACATAACATTTTCCAGAACTTATGTGAATGCCAGACACTGAGCTTTTTTCCATAGGCGGCGGTTTTTTTTCCACATTGCAGTTTTTAAAAAAAAAAGGCAGAGCAGTGTAAACTGGCCTGATCCAGAAAATCTATAGCAGGAGATGCTTTTTAAAAACTGAGCAAAATCCGGTTTCGTCCTTCCACCAGGTCCCGGTCATGAGTCAGTGGCGAGGGAAGTTCTGCGTGAAGCTGAACATCACCAACCCGGGAGCGGTGAGCTGGTTCCTGGACAGAGTGGGATCCCTGCAGGCCCAACTGGGGATGGAGTACATCGTGCTGGAGGGGGGTGAGGGGAACGTGTTTGAGAAGCAGACCCTGCGGCCACCACAGGATTTGAGTGGAGACAAGTATATCAGCCTTCTTGCTGACCTGGCCACAAGGATGGGAGACTCCACCATCGTGACGGCAGGGACACGGTAAAGCTCTCAGGCATTTGGGGACATTTTGAGATTTTGTAATCAATCTGCTTTTTGTTTCAAGTCGTCCTTAGTCCTCACTTTTATTTCTGTCTCAGGTCGAGCTACAAGCCGCTGTTTGTGAGGATGACCCCCCTGCAGTCCGACTGGAGCCCGATGGGCCTGAAGGGCATCATTCCCTCCCTGCTGCACCACACTGTGCTGGGATACAACTTCCTCATTCCTGATGCAGTAGGTAATACCACCGCCTATGGGTCACTTCTCTCACTTATACGATGGTAATGATTTTCTCTTACATGAAAACAAAAAAAAATTACTAAATAAACAAAAATTTTACGAATAACACGTCCGATCTTTTAGTTTACACTTTGCATTTATAAGACGGAAGAAATAAGAATCATCACAGAGTTCCCACGTCTCCGAAATCCCAGAGTTCACACAACCTGTTTCCCTCCTGGAATTTTTGTTTTCACCAGCTACAGGAAGAAAACCCGCCGAATGAAACATGATCTCATTTGTCTCTCTCTTCCCACAGGTGGCTCTCTGTCTGGAGACCTGGTCACAGATGAGGAGTTGTTCATCCGTTGGTTGGAAATCGCAGCCTTCCTCCCTGTAATCAGCTTCCACACGCCCCCCTGGGTCTGCGGGGAGGACCGGGTATTAACCACAAACACATCACAAACGTGAAAGGTTGCACACCTCAACCAATATGAAACCACATTTAAATTCACTAGATCCAGATTTTTACTTCCATCTGCACCAAATGGCAAATACTGAATATCGGTCCATTAAACACGCCTGATTACTAAGTTCTATGAATTAATCTTTGAGAAATGAAATGAAAAAAAGGCCCTCGCAGTGTTCCTAGATCCGTCCCCTGATCCAGATCTGCACCAAACTTCTCTCCTCACCTTTATTAGACTGAGCTGCTTGTCCGGACAGCTGTGTCACTCACATTAAATGTAATTACCAAAGCAACGACATAATAGGTTCACATCCCTTTCCACATTTGATAACAAGATTGTCACTCGTGAAGATTTACAGTGGAAAGATCAAGTGAAGTGAAGTGTGAATGCTGCCAATTAGATGTTCCAGGAGGGAGATTATCCGTCATTCCCACACAGCAGTTAAGATAACTCGTGACCCTGCAGCCTCTCCTCAGCTCAGTGGGTCGGTACCGAGAAATTCCCACCGTGTGCGTGAGGCCTACAGAGACCGGGTCTACCAAAGCTCTCCCCCCCAGCAGGAGAGGCAGGACTGAACCTCGTCCCTCTCGGCTGGACATGAGGAATGTATCCCTCCATGTGCACGGCAGGAAAACAATGCCCACAGTCTCAGGGAGTCCGGTGACAGATATCAATACATTTGACAATGTGGTGCCAGATCTCAGGTTCCTGCATATAAAAAACAAAACACTTGGCTAATTTTCCCCTCGGCTGCCCTTCCCCTCTTCCCTCAATAGGAGCGATTGTTTGGCCCCCTCCCAGCATCACCTGTGGTTAAGCGTCCATCTGTTCTGAATTACAACCCCTCCTCTAGATTTATGGCTCACTCTCAAGCGCCACTTCAGCAGGAATGATAATGAATTTGAGGACAAGTCTTGGAAAAATACTTTATTGTGGCAATTAAGATTTCCATGAGTAATTGACAAGTGTGACATTGGAGACGACCGAGGCAGCAAAATGAATTGGTTGTGACTTGCGCTGCGAGACAAAGATAAAAATAGGCCTTTCGAACAGCGAAACATTTGACGGCAGCAACGTTTTCCATTTTGGTCTCTTGCACGGCCTTCAACTGTCGATGAAGCCGAGAGGATATTTTAAAGGAGAATAGACGGCTGAGTTACACGTGAGTAATGACTCGGCTTTACGGGGCGGAGTGCTGCAGTTTAAAAGTAGCACACCTTCATTTCTAGAGTGTGCGAGACTTCATTCATTCATAGACAGGTCACTGCAGTGGCCACGCTGGAATCGAATAGCAGTAAAAACCTCAAACCCACACACATGCCTGGCATCTCAATCAGAGCACTCAGACCCAGACCGACTCCGAGGCTCATTCCTGCAAATGTTCTCAATCCCAACTCATAAAAATACATTTTTATAGATGCGGTCGAGTTTTGTTTTCGCAATGAAGAGGATGTGACCCTTCCAGGAATTCTGGAGTAGTGTGGCCAGAGGGAGAAAGGACAAAGAGTTGGACAGTAAAACTCACAATGAGCTGCTCGGAAGCTCTGTTTGCATGTCAGGGAGTAGAGACGGCTCAAATGTCTTTAGCGGCATCTTAGCAGTGTCTTTCTTGTCCTGAAGTCCTCGTGGCAGATCATTTAGTTTGGGAAAGGCTCTTTTCATTGGTTTCTTCTGTTACCATATCTCTTGCACAGAGACATCCGACAACGATCTATCTCAGCACTTAGAATAGTTGTACTTGAAAATCAACATACCATTTTGTTGGACAGAGGAAGGAGTTGAACTCCTTCAACTGAAAATGAAAATTGGGTTTGGACATTTTCCAGAGTTTTCCTTTCACATATGAAGAATGCAGGAGATTGTCCGAGTCAGACACATTAACAAAAACAGAACATTCAGCCAAGGGGAGGCGCCAGGGCAGAGCATGCAGGAGGCAGTACACGACATTAAAACTCTGGCCACGTCTCTTGCCGTGCCTGCAACTTGTTTGAGAATTGTGGCGTAAGTCCTGAGAGCCAAAAGCTCTCGAATGTCGTTGTCTTTCCGACTTGACATCTTAGTCTGCGTCTTCTGTGTGTGTGCCGCCTATTTTTCATCCTGAGATATTTGTATTCTTCCAGTTTCATGTCTGCCAAGTGTTAGAAAGGTCATCAACACGCCCACACAACTTTTTCTTCATGTATTCTCACATGGACTCGCGAGGATATTTTACGGATTTTTTTCCAGGACAGTGGCTGGAAAAGTTACAGAAAAGTCTCTGTGGAAATTTTCAGGAAAACGTTCACACTTCAATGAGTTGCTCCAAAGTTCTGTGGACAAAAGTCTATATCAGACTTGTCCTGAAGTCCTTGTAGAAGATCATTGATCGTGTTTTTTGCATTCTTTCAGTTCCTGGGCTGCTCTAGATTTCGTAGAATTTGTATTTTTGATATTAAAAGAGAGCTCCATCAACTGCAGCTCCACAGAAAAGCAGATAACTATTCGACATAGGAAACTTCTACAATGGCAGGAACGTACAAATATTATTATATTATTATTACCGTCCCAGTTATCCTCTCTGTTGGTCACCCATAGGTGCTCAACCTAACCCGGACCTACATAGCAAAGCACCAGAGGGATGTGGTCCCGCTGATAGAAGAGTGCGCTGAGGAGTGGCGGATGACGGGAAACCCCATCTACCGGCCGATGTGGTGGCTCAGTCCCATTGACCCCATGACCTTCACCATCAATGACCAGTTCCTCATCGGAGACAAGGTGAATTAATGGCGTTCTGATGGGGGGGGGTCGAGTTCCTTCTGTCACCATCGGATATGCTTGGCATACGATAGTGTACTGTAACCTAATGCCTTGCTCATTAAGTGTACAATCTGTCTGACATCTGAGTTGCTTTTACCAAACTGATATGGGTGCGTTGTTGCCGACTTCCAGGTCCTGGTGGCACCGGTGGTGGAGCAGGGGGCGGTGCAGAGGGATATTTATCTACCTGACGGGGGCTTCCAGTGGCAAGACAGCCGGAACGCTCAGGTGTTTGACGGGGGGACGTTCCTACAGGACTACCCTGTGCCCTTGGAGGAGGTGGCTGTTTTCTTACGGAGAAGCTGAGTCGTGTGAATGATCCGCCCGAACCTCACCTGACTTATCCTGTTACTGTTTTGAATCAAATTCTTTTTCTTTTCTTTTTTTTTTTTTAAATACTTGTGCTGTTCTAAACTTGCACTTTTCCACTAAAGACCATTGACCCTGTCTCAAGACTTGAGATGATATGTAGAAAGTTTTTTTTTTTTATACTTGCACTTTACAGTTCAAAATTATTCGTATGGTTTTTATCCTTTGTGATGATTGTTCTTCCTTTTTTAAAAATGTTCATTGGTTTTACCTCTCGGCTGATTTGTTTCTGGACTTTTTTCCTGCCTCTTTTTTGTTTTGTTTTCGGGGGGTATGTAACTTCAGAGGAATCTGTGCGTTTACATACTGAATTTCTACAGTCTTTAATTTTTTTAGTTGCTGCTGGCTCTCTTGATAAGGAGGAACAAAGCAAGCGCCTTGTTTGCTTCAAAAGAATCTGAATCTCTCAAGAAGACCAAATGAAGATATAGTCGGACAGGGGAAGACGTTTGAACGGGAAAACGCTCACTGGGATGAAGTTAGCTCACAGGAACCGACGCTCCGTGGTACCGTATGTCTTGCTCACCCATTGGAAAGGCCTTTACTTGAACTTGTCAGGCCAAAGGGCTGGTGTTTTTATGAATGTACCTCAAGTTATGGTTTTTCACTGCTTTGCAGAGTCATCACACACGACGACCTTTTCACCCCTTTAGCACTTATTCTTAGAATATCTTAAATTAATGAAAAATCAACATACCACTCTGTTGGACACCTCTGGATGTCCTTTAGTACTGTAGGCCACAAGAAGTTGAGGCCATGCTACTGTCAATGTAACTCTGACTATATTTGAATTTACATTAGATTGAAATTTACTAACCTGCTGTAGTCAGGGCTTTTAAACGAGCTGCTTCTCTTTAAATAACTGTTGTGTTGATATGTTCTTTCGTCAGTGCCAGAGGAAGTGCTAAAGAAAGCCTTGTTGACACAACACTACGGATGTGGAAAGGATATTTAAGATAAATAGTGTTGACATTTTATGGACTTATTTGCTTCTCATGCAGAGGGTTAGATGAGACGACCGATGACGCTGAGTGTAGAGACAGGAAAACTGCCGCTCTGGTCTCGATCTAACAAAATCTGACAACCAGCATAATGGTGTCTGGTTTATTTAATCCTTTGGTTTTATGCTAAGCTAGGCTAACTGTCTCCTGTCTGTAGCTTTTCCAGAAAGATACGAGCATGATCTCAAACTTCTCTTCAAACTCTCAACAAAAAGGTGGAAACTGTGTGTTTCCTAAATCATCAAACTGTTCCTCTAATAGGACAGAATTTGGGCTCTTGAAACCCTAGAGGACATATGTCCAATGCTCTCCGAAGTATATTGCAGCCATGTTTGATTTACCTGATGTTTAAAGTCACTGAGGTGCATAAACCTTCAGTAATTTGTAAAAGTAATTACATTGCTGCCGTCATGTGAACCTACACATATCCTTCACTTTGGACTGATCTCACATTCACTTCCATGGAAAAGAAAATGAGATCTAAATCAGATAACTGATTTTATTTTAAGACAATATTGAACTAGTAGGCACTCAGTGCAAACCTCCGCCAGGGCCCAACATTCCCTTATTAAAACCACTAGATCCTGATTGTTATTTAGATCTGCACCAAATACCACACACTCATAATTTTCAGGCCCCTTAATTAAAAAAACATGAATTACTCGACGAAAGTGTTAAAAATCTCATTTAGAGGGTTCTTTCCTGACCCACACCACATCCTTCCTCCAAGTTTCACGAAAATCCGTCCAGTCAAACGCAGATGAAAACCTAACCCCTCTGGCGGAGGTAAAAATCAGCCCACCGACAAATCCAACAACCTTTGCACCACGACACGACGCTGTGTGTACAGTTAGCGAACAGACAGTGCTTCTCCTGATTGATTTGTTCTTCACGAGACAATCTTAACTAACAGTGATGATCCTGGCTGCAGATTTATAACTTAGCAAACGCTTTACCACTAAACTCACTGTGTAACTTTTAACGAGTTTACTGTATCGACTCCAAACACTCAGGTCTAACTGAAGCTTATCAAATCACCGAATGTCTTAGTGCAACGCAGTAAGTTGTGAACACGTCAACGTCTTAATCTCTCCTGGAGCTGAATGTACAATGGACAAACTGTGACTCCCCCCCACCCCCTCCGCAGAGCTCCTTCTCGTGTGAGGAGCTTTTCTAGCTCCCGTTCTGATGCTTTTTATGGAACGCTGTCGTATATTCACGTTGAAGTTGCAGGAAAACGCTTTGTTGTGTTTTTATTCCTTCCCTCCGCAGACTGAGTGAACACGACGCCATGTGCCTTAACATGCCACTCTTACGTCTGGACAATGCAAGTGTCTGGATTATTGCAGAATCAGCAATGTACATATTACGATGACTGTGCCATTACAAGTGTTTTTTTTTTCTCTTCTGTAAATCAGAGAACTTAGAATGACAACGTTGCAATAAAGTTTACATTTTCTTACTTCACTCCCTCGTCTCGTTCAGTTCGTGCTTGGTTAACGACAGCGTAGTTGTCTATGTTAGAATTGAACCATGGGCCATTAGTTTTTATTTTTATTATGTAAAATGTGCCTTTGTGTGTTGGACTGTACAGGCAGTGACACCAGTCGGGTCCCTTGGCTGCGAACAAAGGATTATGGGAAATGCTCTGGCACCCAGAAGGAAATATGCAAAAGTAGAAATTGATTGAATAAACAAGTCATCAAGTAATTTAATTGCTTTTCGGCTACTTGTGATATCTATTGCATCCATGTCTGTGTCTTCTTACACGTGTGCTGCTGTGTGAGCATGTGTGTGTTCCAGGTATTACTCATCTTGTTGGGACCTACATCTGTTTACACAGTCACATGGGGACAGAAAGCAGGAGCCCATAATTTAAATCATTTTAAGGTGAAGACATGTTTTAAGGTCAGGGTAAGGTAAGGGTTAGGGTCAGGCCAGTAGTAACTCTGTTTAAGGTTTGAGTAGGTCTCCAAGAAATCAATCTAAGTCAATGTAACACCCCCTGAAGTCATCGAGACGTGTGTGTGTGTGTGTGCAAACCTCATCTTATTGACAAGTCTACCTTCTCCACGTCTCAGAAACTCTTAGTCTTTTTATCTGCGAGCCTGCTGACGACTAACATCTCCACTAATTCCACTTAAACCTAATAAAAGTTATTTATAGCCCGGACGAGCACGCGGTGGGAGAGATTCTCAGGGGAATCACATTCAGGTCGACCTCCGTTGAGCTTCTCCTCCTTATACCTTCCTCTCCCGCTGCCCCTTGGCTGAGCTCCACCTTGAGGCCCTGCTCCTTGAGCGCAGTGAGACAGGTGCAGCTGGCCGCAGACACGCACGGTCCCTCCACGCCAGCCACCGAGCTCACCCTCTCCGCTTACACCCTCCACTCAATCGCTGAGATTCAGATGGTGCTTCTTTTTTTTTTTCTTTTTTTTTATCTGGGTGCAGTTCTAAGTCAGATGAAATTCACAAGACATACTAACGTGGCTCCATGGTTTGTGAGGTGATGAAGTTACAGTGTTAGAGGCCGGAGAGGTTCCGAGGACAGCAGAGGTTAGAGAGCCAGCGTGCAGGGTCATTTTGTGTGCAACACCTTAAATGACCTTTGAAATGTTCATGTTTTCAGTTAATAGAAGAATAAAAAGTTTGATTTTCAACTAGAATGGAACTTAGGAGAGAGCCTCCACCAAGGCCCTACAGTCCCCTCATGACATCACGTTTTATTTTGCTAGATCCAGATTTTTATGTGGATCAGCAGCTCGTAAATATCTACTTAACATGATCCATGAGCTATTCTCTGAGAAGTCATTGAAAATGTTTAAAAGGGACCAACAGTCTCCTTAAATTCAATCAAGCCAAACCAAATTACACACAGAGAAACAAAGCAGTCACCTCAAGATGCCTGATTTGTTTCATCAAGATCCGTGAATTTCTTTCTGGAAACAAAAATGTTCAAAATCTTGGATCTGTCCAAAAATATAAAGGGATAGAAATTTAACAAAATAAATTCCCCCCAATACTTTTATTTTGCAAAGAGCATCTTCCCCTGAGAGGTGAACTTTAATGTGAAATACCTGCGTATCAACAATTACTTCCAGGAAAGTGTCGAAACATTCAGCCGCAGGACAGTCGTCCACTGAATCAACGTAAACCCAATTACTCTGGGGCAGAACTGGGCCTTATTACGTAAGTCGTCGAGCGGAGAGGGGGAAAAACAAAGTGTCCTGCCAAGACCCGAATCAAGAACGACACGACCCATCAAACTACAGTAGCTGCAATGAGAGCAGTGTGTGTCTCCGCTGTGAACAGCCACCGGTGAACGTGAATGAAGAGCTTAGAAAAGCGGAAACACTGGCGCCCCTCGTCTTCTTTCAGGGTGTTTTGGAGCAAGTGGCACGGTGAATTAAACCGGTGACAAGCGGAGGCCGCAGATTCTCTACCAAAGTCTACTTTTAGAAAGTGCAAGTCAAAGTTTTAGGTTTCAGCGTCTGCTCCTGAGTGAATGGGTTTTCCAGCTTGCCAATTAGGTGTACAATTTAAAGGCTTGTTGTCCAGGAGCCAGTCAGTTGAAGACTGTCGATTATGCTGTATGGATTTGTCCTACTATGCCTGTCTTGTGGTTTGAATGGAGGCTTTTAGCTTTACATCATCAAAGATTTCTTCACGCACACAGAGACAGAAGACACGTCACGGTTTTGATAAAGAAGTAAAAATCAAACATGTACGAAAGGGCCGGACCGAGCGGCTCAAAGTGCAGGTTCCCAGAGCACGAGGAGTAAGCAGACCTCAGGAATGCAGTCTAGAAATGTTAGCCTGCTATCGGAAGCCCAGGGCAGGGTGACATCGGGGCGGGTGTACCACTCTGTGGAGGTGTGTGTGTGTGTGTGTGAGAGAGAGGGAGAGTGAACAGGAGCAAGAGGCAAACTATCACATGTAATCACTTCCTGCCCACGGCTTCCTTGGAAATCTGTCACCTCGCTATGACTTTAATTTAAGTTAATAGCTGAATACGCCGCGAGCGGCCCCAGAGGAGGGACTTAATCCCCTCTGAGAAATAGAGGTGGCCCCTCGGTGGCATCCGCTTGAGCCGGACCACCTGGCAAAATGGCAGGCTTCAGCTTCCCTCTGACCACCGAGCCAAGTCAGGAAATATCTCATTGTCACATTAGAACCGGTTTCAGGAGGTTTACATGTCGTCAGAGCTAAGAAAAGCTGATAAACCAACCTGTGACACCGAATCGGCCTCATCACGTGGATGAGGGTCGAGCTCCACTATTTAAAATCAAAGCTTCTTCGTGGTGCAGCATCTTTGTGCTTCACAATTGACGATGCAGTTTTCTGTAGTTAATCCTCTAAAACTAAATTCACTGAGCTACTAAATAACTTACACAGGTCATTTTATCACCAAGCTCAACACAGATTGATATTCAACATTAAGAAACCTTTTGGTTCATCTGACGCATCTCAAATCTTATTATTTTAATTCACTCACTTACTTTATCGCCTCTATTCTTTATGATATATTTTATTATCTATTCAAAATGAATTATGTTTATATCAAAAGATTTTTAACTTGTAATTATTTTATATATTTTTTTTGAAATGGTCATAAGCTTTCAAAACCCTTTTTAGTTTTTCATTATCAGCATTTTAGTTTTCCCTCTGCTCATCTGTCATTTGGGAAAGTTAAGAAGTTTAAACAGATCAGATCGTAAGTGAGAGACGACGCAGCTGTCTGACATTCACTTTATTGTTGAAACTTGTTTTGGTGTATCAGCTGCACGTCCTTTTTTTTTTTTTCATCTTTAAAATAAAAGGCAAACATATACAGCTTCATCTTCAAAAACCATGCAGCGAAAAACATGACACTTACCGAGATAAAAAGTCATACAACTACAACAAGTCAGCGATAACTCAAGTGTGATGTCAAAAAAAACCCCCAAAAAACCATCAGCAAAGCTCCACATTCAGCTGGTGAATACACATCTCCAAACAGTTTGTCGTGTGAACAGAGAAGTTAAAACGTGGAAAATAAATAATGTGATGAACCTGACAACATACACAGAACAAAACAAAATGTATTCCTACATGACAGCCTCTCCTCTTCATAAGGAGCAAGAGAGACAGTGATTTCCTATGAAGAGACGCATCAACCCACTAAGCAGTTCTGAACTTCACCTGTGACACCACCGTACTGCAAAGACAGCTCCGTTAACTCTGCTGATAAAATTGTATTTATTCTATATTGATCTGACAAAAGGCTTCTAGGTAGGTGGATGAGAATTTGTTAGTTTGAGCTAAACAGCCCGTCTCTAAGTGCACGACAGTGTTTCAAGTAGTTTTTCCACTTTTTGATTTGAAGGGCGACATCACATTCACCCCGGTCACACACTCGCACACACACCTTAACAGCAAGAAAAAGTTATTCTACCCACCGCGTCGCCAAGGTCAGACGGTTTCCTACTGCATCTCAACTTCTCCTACACGCCAGCGTAAGCACCAATCTTCCAACGCCGCAGCCAGCACCGTACAATACTAGGCCGAGTAAGTAAAACCTGAGTATGAAAACAACAACAACAAAAAAACCCACACGCACAAACACAATCTGCCTTTGTCGCTACGTCATTAAACCATATAGCAGTTAAAAGGAACAACCTGTGCACCGGAGCCGGGGAGGCAATGCAGAGCCGTTGGTCGGACACCGTGAGCAGCTCTCTGTCGTCTGTATCAGATCAATGCGGAATATTTATAATTCTTGTAAATATACATCTGTAGTTTTCCTTCAGTTGATGGGACACAACTGCTCCGGGCCTCAGTGTCTAAACAAAGCCGTGTAAAACTGGTGGACACAACACAACATGCAAATCTGTTAAACTTTACATCAGGTTTGCTGTTTGGCCAATTATGTACGACTCGGGTGCTTCGATCGAGGAGCAAGAAGAAATTTAAAAACTCAAATTAAGAACTGATAGGATTTTTTTTTGAAATGGGGACGAAAAAAAGATAAAAATATTGCATCTCTCAGGTTAATCTGAAATTTAAATATGGGATGATGCAACTGTCTTTTACGTAATCTCAGTTTAGATTGACTAATATTCTTCTCCCTTTCAGCCCTTTTTACACAAGTCATATTAATCTATGTTAGGTATGAGTGTTAACAGTTCTGTAAATTACAACTGTGCACAACCCGTACTTTACCCCAGTGAGTCTCACCCCGCCTGTATATACATTACACATAAAAGCGTCACAAATATTGACAGTAATGTTTTCAATCATCCTCGCTTGTGTAACATCACTTATAGCTTTAAAATAATCCCAAATCCAACATTTGATTCTGTACAAGTATGCAGAAGAATATGTTTTGCTAAGAACAACGTTCCTATGTGGAGTGAGGATCACTTGGTTTTCTTGTCGAGCTGAAAGAGATCCAGGATTTCCAACATGGCTCGTTTGATGTTGCCGCCAAAGCGGTGCGAGTCCTAAAGATGAGGAGGAAAGAAGATTGACAAAAGGTTTTTATGTGAAATGAAATACAAAGAATAATGAACAGAGATCTGAGCTTGGGTGGAACAGGTGAACTTACAGTTTCAGGGCTTGAGCGTTTGCTGGAGATGTGGAAGTTGATGAGGTTCTCACCAACAATGATGTAGGAGACACCGTAACCATCGTCAGCCACCTTATGGACACGAGAGGAAAAGGAGGTGAGAACAACCTCAATGTTTCTTTGCAAATAAACGTATTTCTGACACGTGCATGTGTTGCAGATGCTTTATTTCTGCAGTCCAGATAGAAACTGTGTTTTTCCACTATGTCTTTAAAAGTTCCTGTCAAAACTGATGAGAACTCACCGGACCGAATCCACCACCGGACGACACGTACTCCGGGTGTCTGACCAGGTCGAACAGGTCGACCTGCTGCAGAGGAGTCTGACTGGTGGACAGCCTCCACGGCTCAGACAGGACCTGAACATTAAAGTGGGATATTTTAATTCACGAGTAATCTCGGGTTTTAAAGGTGGGTTTTTGAAATCTTTAATGTACCCCTTTCCAATATATTCCCTTAATAATTAGTCAAATAAACACTAGTCATTAAAAACGCCTCCTTAGCCTTGACCTGGGTTGGACAAAAGCCACCAAGACCCACTCAGGTCAAATGGACAGTATGTCATTAATGGGGTAAATCTACAAGTGTCATTGTCGCAGCTTTCGGAGCAGAAATCTCAGAATCATGCGCAGCAGCAGTTCATACCCCTTTGAGGAAAGCCGAGTCTTCTCCCAAGTATTTCGACACCACGTAGAGACAGAAAAGGTGGCGATCGATGCCCTGTCCTGTCATAGCCAGGCGGTACATGTTTTGGTGCTTCTCTGCTGCCAGCTTGAGCAAGTTAAGGCGTTCTTCTCTCTTAACAGACAGGAAAAGAATTAGATGGTGAACAACCGAAGACCATGGCACCGTTGTTCTAATCTACGACTGAAGGCAGCCCAGTAACCTGATGTGAGATGTGTGGACTTACTGTCTCGTCTTTAATCATGGCTTGAACAAAGGCACAGGTTTCCATCGTACAGGAGCGCACAGTTTCTGTACGGCCCTCACGGAACAATCGCGTCATGGAAGCTTCGTACGTCAGGCAGAACTTCCCTTTGTCCTGCAGAGTTCATGGGTCGGGATAAAAAAGAGACACCACGGGAGATTACTTGACCAAGAGGAGCACAATGACACAGACTTCCACACTCAAACTGCCGTTAGCATCTGAAATTGTTCAATTACTACACTAACATTCATGAACTTGTGCTGTGTTTTATTTAATTTTGAATAAATTGCGAAGCTAAACAGAAAGTTTCAGCGTCAAACCGAAGCTGAACAATGTTTTCATTTTATCATTCACTGTCAGGATTTGAGCATCTTCTGTCTTGTGTTGTTCAGCCATGATGTGATCGCCCTCTGCTGGAATTTCAAAACAGTGTTTCTGCATTAAGCTTCGTCCCTGTTTTATCTTTGAATGTTAAAAACCCTGAATTATAGAACTTCTCTATGCTTACATGTGGACAACTGTATTTTTCTGTGGGACAATATGCCTGCATTCAAAATCAATTGTTTCTCTAAACCATTGTAACAGCACAGAGTAAAAAAAAAAAAGGTAAACCACTTCAACAATTGGTTTATTTAATACACCCCCAAATAAAAGTAAATATCACTAAATGTCATATGAATAAATACACAAGTGCTCAGACAGTCACGCTTTGAGACCCCAGTGGGATGAGTGTCCTCACCCTGTAGTGGGCGAGCTGCAGGGCGATCTGGATAAAGGCGTCAGGACTTGTGCGGCACTTCTTGATCAGACCCTTGCCAAAGTCAGCGAAGGGGATAATGTGACAGTCCACGTCATCCGCCAGAGTCTGGGCTAACGTCAGAGAGCTCTGGATGGTGTCCTGGCACTAGAGGAAGTCACAGAGTCGTCTGTTAGATGAACTGATAACACAGTGTTGTTATAAAGAAAGCTATTGACTGTGTAACTGCTCATACTGACACGACTCATGTTGATTCCACTTTTTAAAAATGAAATTACACATTACCAAACGTGCATCTATAAATCTTTTACATCAAATTAAATAATGAAAAACTAACACTGGTGCACATAGTTCACGCTACCAGCAGGGGGAAGCCTAGGCTTGTGAATATCTTATGCAGACTTGCAGTTTGACATCATGACGCTTTAACAGTCTTACTTCAGCAGTGATGTCCCACTGCAGCCTCTGAGGACCTGGCAGGTTGGGGTGGGGCTCCCCTTTGCAGTGACCAGTGTCAGAGTATCCCAGCTTCAGAGGGTCCATGGAGAGAACGTGCTGCAAAAACAGTCACGTTTTTTAATAAGACAAGAAAATTATTAACATCTATTTTCTGTCTTTAAGGCTTTTAGTTACATTTAGTTAAGTTAAATATTCATCACTGTTGCCGTTCCTCAAAAGTTGTTGTCAGGCAAAAAGTCACAGAACTGATTGAAGCTGGTTTAAACGACGCTGACGTACCTCCCACAGATGACCGATGATTGGAGCATCAGCCCAGGAGTGCTCTGCGTTCAGCCCCATGGTGCCATTCTTGAAAACGATCAGGTTAAAGGATTTGTCAAACCACCTGAATGAAAACAATTAACACACATTTAATTATATTTATCAATAAACCTTTGCACACACACAGTTCCCAACATTCCTCAGGTTCATCTGTCCCACCTGTCGTAGCAGTTTCCATGCAGCAGGGATTTGGCGTAACGGTCCAGAGACTTGACGGGATTGTCTGAGTCGTAGCGCTGCTCGGTTTCATCGAGGGTTACAAAGAAGGCGGCCTTTTCAATGGCGTCTAGAGACTGCTTGTTCTTACCACGGCTGAAGAAGGCCTCGCGGGCTTTTGCCCAAGGGGTCCTGTAAAATATTAAAGAAGAGAAGATGAGTGACTTCTAGACACAACCGCAAGTGTCAGTGCAGGGAATATTGAAATTGGAAATTTGCATAACTTGTATTTTACTGTTGCATTAGGCAGATGTGAGGTTTCAGTTTGTTCATTATCTTAATTTCTGTATGTGCCACTGAGAACATTAAAATTATATTACAATTACAATCAATTTACATTGTGTCATATATTGACACAATGTAACTGCCCAAATACAGTTGTACTGCATTAGTCAGTCCTGCTTGCGATGGTCATACACAGATAACAGTATACACTCAGTACACTATCGCTGCATGACTGTTTAGCAGGATGCAAAGTAACCGAATGAATTAACTGTCAAATATCACAGCAAAAGATGTCCATCTATGCAAAGTATATCTCCACTTCCTGTCATGTCACGGCAATGTTAATGCAAATTATGTGGCCGCAGCTCACTCCCTTTCACCACCCACCTGTCCCCTGCAGTAAGTGCAGCTAGTCTCTCCTCTCCCGCCTGGGGCTCGGAGCTGTCTGCCAAGATCCTCTCCATCTGCTGCTCGATCTCCCGTGGCAACAGCAGCCGCCCATCATAAAACATCCACACTTTGTAGAAACGGCCCTTGTGGTACACAGCTATGTGTTTGCTCTCGTTCGTGTGCTGGAGGATGTCTGGGAGAGACGGAACACAGGTCAGGGAAGGGGCAATAAAAATGGAGAAGTCAAATATAGAAAGATGACTGGAGGGTGTCATCAGGGAGAGTAGATTTCTGTGTTTGTACATGTTCCTGTATTTTGGTGTAGCTGATCATTTCTAATGGAACGTGGCTTAAATGTTTTGGCTGCTAATATTATTATGGGGGAAAGTGAGCCATAAGGTGACAGCTCAAATATGAACATCACAGAATTATAACAGGTATAATTCTGTGACGTTCATATTTGAATTCTCTCTTGGTTCAACAAGTAAAATATTGTGATTGAAAATGTGTTGAGGGCAAAAAAATACTTATTTTTGGGCAGGCTTCTTTTCTTGTTGCAATCATTTGAAGGGCAAAAATCACAATTCAATTCAGAAGTGAAACTACATGATGGGAAATGACTATTTGGTTTAAAAAAACAGCTTGAAATGGGAGGTGCAGGAGGTGAAATGAAAAGGAAAAGTCATTCGGGAGAAGAGGTGGTTCGGGACACAATGAATCGAGGCAATGTTTGTTTGAACAGCTCTATGCACAACCAAGCAAAATCAATTAAAAAAAAAAATGTTTGCATCTCTGGTTTATACGTGTGGCATTTGTTTTGTTGATGCTCATAATTGTTCAAACAAGTATTACCTCGCTAGAGGCAGCATGAAGGAAGGGATGCTTGCACTAAGAACAAACCCAAGAAAAACAACCTCGTATCCAGGTCATGCTTAGCCCACTGTTCTTCCTCACCTCCAGACAATGTCAATATGAAAAAAACTCCACTTATGCATTACCAACTTCCATCTTTCAAAACCTGCAAATGCAAACTAGTACAACCTGGTGGGTCAATTCAAACTCATGTCAGAACATTTGAATGTTATTCAATTCTGTACTACAAACTAATAACAATGAGTAACTGAAGAGTGACTGAATCACTGTCACTGTTCACCTCTGCTCTCAGCCTGGGCTACTAAGCAGGATGTCAGGTTCATCCCTGGTTTTTCATTCCTACAAAGCTGGTTTAACCAAGATAAATCACCATGGTAACTGATGCTGCTTTAGAGCAGGTTAAGTTTGAGATAACAGATCAAAACCTGTCAAGACCTCAACTACTAAACCAATCAGATCACAGGAAAAAAGGCATTCTCCACGTGTTTCATGTGAGAGACTATGTGAATCTATTATGAGTATTCATACTTAAACTCATGTTTCCCAATTTCCATTTTAAATAGTTCACAATAGACTACTTCTCCTCTCTGCTTGGCAGCAGTAACAGTCGGAAACATGTTTTTTTCAGGGTCATAGGAACAGGTTCTTGATCAGACAAAAAGACTAAAATACTCAAAGAGACATATTAAAATTCCTCTGCTCGTGTTTAGTATATCCTTAATCTTACTTTAAAAATAAAAAAATATTAGAAAGTGCTTCATCTTTTTAACGTTCTAGTTATATTGTTTACTTTTCACCTTTTTAAATCTTATTTTTGAATGTCGCTCTAACCACATTTCCCAGCAGGCATCAGCGTTTCCTCTCACATCAAGTGAAATTCTTTGTTCATAGCTCTGACAACGTTGCTGCTGATTTAAGTCTCCGCCTCTTCCACGAAAATGTACTTGTAACCAGATAAGAGGGTTAACAGAGCACGTTGATAACCAGCCTCGTAGTGCAGGTTATCTAGGACGTTAGGCTCAGTGAAGCCAGATAAGAAAAGATATCCTGGGGGTGTTGAACTTGCTTTATAGTACAGTGCCTCAGTTATGTATGCGTTGTGTCATGGGGCTTTAATGTCAAACAGGTCCTTGTCTTGGTTATGGAAGATATGTTACATCACAAATTAGAAATCCTTTCCATATTGTTTTTCTTCGACTGGACAAACATATTTATCCCAAGTTCTGGTTTCAGTCGTTAAAATAAAATTTCTGCTGCAAACTCAGATAGAAGCTTCCAATGAGCATCACCCAGAAGTAAAGGTGATTATTGTATTTCAATATGTAACTCGCGCACAAATATTACTCTGATGGCGAATGAATACAAGCCATAGCCGAGTACTCTTTGACATTCCCAGTTCTTACCTAAATGCTATCGCTGTATCAAACTCAAACACTAGAATTCAGTCACATGCAAATTAGTTTAAAACATGTGCATAGACCAGAACACATGCATTATTAGTTACATCATGTCCAATTATCAAACAGACAAACAATATGTCCGAAGCAGAAGTAGGACATTCTGTAGGAGTAGGAGTAAGTGGAAGAGGCAGCGTTTGCTAAAGACTCTACCTGTGTCTACACCTGGCACACGACTGGTGTTGAACATACGCTCGTATTGGGCTGAGCACATGGGAATAGTGTGTAGGAGCATGAGCTGAAAAGCAAAAGGGGAGAGTCAAACACAAAGATGACAAACTAATTCACTAAAAAAAATCCCAAGAGAGCAGCAGAAGACACACATGGAGGAGCATGGATGAAGTGGAGGGGAAGCGATGAGGGTTGGTCTGAGAAGCAAGTCTGAGGGAGCAGGAGAGACCAAAGAAAGCTGCTGGGAAAGGAGAAATGGTCCAGAAACCAGTGGTCTGCCAGCTCAATGCCAACAGCAAAACCCTGACGTCACCGTAGAATTTGAATGATAACTTTCAGGAGGATTTTGTCCTGATTAGGATTGGGTACGAAAATCCGGTGCCAATCAACCTACCGGACCGAATCACAAAGCAGATTTCTGTGTCTTTGTAATGAAATAGTTGCCCTGCTTACAGGCAACATAAAAATCACTCCACGTGCCTAGTTAACATTACAAAGTGTATTTCACATGAAATATATCTGACACTGAAGAATAGCATATAGTTGGGTTAGGTGTTACCAAGAGTTTAACATGTATTTATTTAGTATACTTTAAACTGTTAACGGTGACCACATTCACTTCCATCTCAACTTCCAAGTAGCCTTAGAAATAAAAAGCAATTCTTATCATCTGCCATCGTTTTGTGGAAAAAGTATTTCTTCTATCGATTTAGCACCGGTGTCGATGCTACGATACCCAACCCTAGACCTGATGAAACCAATCTGAATATTTCTATCGATGAAAGAGAATAAGATGCAGGACTGTTTCTGGGCTGTGCTGTAGAGAATGAGTGGAGTCAGGGTTTCCAATGGATGTTGCCATGGCAGTGTCTAGGGTCACAAGGTGGGTGGGGTGGGGTCAGAGGGCACGACGAAGATGTGCCCTCCTCTTACCTGTCTCCAAACCAGGGATGCGGGTGGTGTTAAACATCCGCTCCCACTGAGCCGAACACAGAGGAACCTTGTTCGCCAGCAAGTATATCTAACGCAGTGTCCGACACAGCGAAAGGGACAAAACAGTAACAGAGACAGTCCAATGTAAGTGTGCAACAGAGCAAGCTCATGCATTGTTGTTTGTATATATGCATATAATCAAGAGATAGGTATGTGTGTTTATGCAACATGTTGTAGAGTGTGTGGAAAGGTAAAAAAAAAAAAGAAAACAAATTTGCACTGAAGCATCATGCAGAGTCATAAAGGAGAAGGACTGACGGAGGTGCAGGAGAAACGATGATCCTACTGGGTGTCAGTAAAAATAGCAGTATTCATCAGGTGTTACTCATCAAGCTTCACACAGAAAACACTCGTGAGTTCACGGCTGAACTTTCTGCTGCTGTGGACAATGTCAACAGTCTACATCATCGCAGGGGAAATGCTAGAGAACTTCAAGCGCGCAAGAAAAGGTTGTGAAAGATAAGCAGCTGTCATTGTAAACTTTAAAGACAAACACAACTATCAATCAATAGAAAATAAAAATGAGTTAAACATTTACCTGAGGTTTGATACGGTCAAACGTGCACTTTATCACAGCTCGAACAATGTTTATAGATTAACAAAAATCATTAAAGAAGAGAAAGACGACAGCGATAAGCTCTGTACTCACAGGTTTGATCTGGGCTCTGTCCAGTTTCCTCCTGTAGAGCATGATAGCGTGGATTGCGTTACCTGCCCGGGCAGCCTGGATGGAGGTGGGGAACACGTACAGGAAGTCCTGGAGGAAAGGAATCATAGCATTAAATCAATAATCAAATCAAACAAAATGGTACAACTGTCCTAAAGAGGACATGGGCGTGAGACCTGATCAATAGGACTTGTGAATGCCCTACACAAGGGGTGATGTTTCCGCCCCTGTCTGTTGGTTTGTTTATTTGTCAGCAGGATTAAAACACAAACTACATCATGGATTTCCCTGAGACCTGGTGGAAGCGTGGGACAAAGACAACCTAGGAAATGTTGGCGTTTCAGGATGAAATGCTCATGTTGCTACACATCACCAACAGTGAGGTCAAACAGTTCATAATTAAAAAAGGAGATAATGGCCTTTGTATATAACCATGGATTCAAAGTTGTGTTCAGGCGACTGTGCTGCAAAAGGGTCACAGACACACAATAGTTCAGATATCCAAAGATGTGGGAATTTACTCTGGTGTCCCCAGAAAAACACGAAACACACAGTGACAGAGAATCAATCACAATCTACATGAAGAAGCTTCATCTTCAAACAAAAGACAAGCGACATCTTACCATGGCATAATAGTTGCTGTTGACCATGATGGGTCCACGGCCTCTGAGGTAAATATACTCTTCCCACCAGTCACTGACCTACACACAGAGAGAGGGTGGAGAAAGGAAACAGAGGGTGTCAGTATTAGAGTTTGGAGCCGAGTCGAGACCCAGGACCGTGTCCAAAACTGAGACACAAGAGCTGGGAAGAAAGAAAGGGAGAGGAAGCGAGAGGAAGCGAGAGGAAGTGGGGTGGGGGTGGGGGGGTAGGGGGGGGGTCTTTTTGTCTCACATAGTTGGAGGTCCACCACGACTTGAGTTTGAGGTACCACTGCAGCCTGGGTCCCAGGTTCTTCTCAAAGTCTTGAGCCAGGCCATTCATTCGATTATACTGCTCATCATCCATCAGTGGGCGCACTGACTCCAGGTACTGTAAACATAGAGGGAAATAAAGTCACACAGACTGAAGCCACGGGTTTGTTTATTGAACCCATAATTAGTGTGTCATTTACTGTGTTTATGCATGTGTCTGCAGAGCTACAAAGGTCAAGGTCTGCAGCAAAGGAAGTCTCTCTCTCTGGCAGACAACACTGTCTGAAACACCTTGTTAGCATTCCTGGATTGTTTTCCTTAAAGCATCGACGAAACAAAATACTCAACCAATCAGGTGTGTTGAGTACTGTAAGCCACACCCTAAAAGTTTCCTAAAGCACTCCCCCCCCGACCAGAGACTTTTAGGGGGCTGGGGGGGTAAAAAGATTTACCCTGCCATGGATACACAAGGACATCCTGAAAAGGTTCCTTGTTCCAGGGAAAAGTTTGCGGAATCAAAATACAGCTCACATGTAACAGGTCCGTCCGGTACGACAGTGCACACGCTATCCTTACAGTGGGCACTGTGGTGTTCAAGCTGATTGGGAAGCCTCTGGATACGGGGTATGACATTTCCTGCACGCTCTCTAAGCAGCTGACCAATCGCAAAAGAGTTAGAAGCTAGTTAAGTAAAAGTCTTTAAAAGAAAAAACATTTCTCTTTACTTCATCCTTTAACTAGATCTTGCCCTTGCCTGTACTCCTGCGCTTTTATAATTTTTATCACTTTCGTTCTTATCTGTTTTTATGCATTT